CTTGGAGTGAGATATCTGCAGGATGAGCTCGAGCACCTTAAGGGCCTGGTACTACTGGCTACCCCTGGTGATCAGTGGGGTGAAACCAGGATGAAGAAATGCAGGCAAGGGAAGGGCACCATGTTCACATTGCGCTCACACAGATCAGCACCGAGTTGTCCCAGGAAGTGCAGGTGCTGTTTTTGGCTTTAGGGTTTGGGGGCAGATGTTATAGAAGGCATTGTTATCAGTGCAATAGGTCTCATCTGTGGTTTCTAAGAGCTGGTGGACTGAGAGGGTGCATTGTAAGGCTCCACCACTAGTGGGAACACTTGAGCAAGGGCACCACACTGAAGGTGTGATCACTGAACACAGATATGATATTGACAAAAAGGTTGAAATATTCTGAGACTTACCACAAAGGGACGCAGAGACAATGAGCAAATGCTGTTGGAAAAATGCTCGATGCCACGAACATTCAATTTAGGAAAAAAAAATAGTCTGTGAAGAAGAATAAAGTTTAACACAACAAAAAGAAGCATGCATGTAGTACATAAGCCAATGGAGGGAATGAGAAGTGAAAGAATATGATTGTTTATTTTAAATTCTGTCCGTTTTGCAAATTCTGTTGGTTCTGTGTTTGCTTCATAAAGGTAAGTGACTAAAATATAACTAAATTTAAGAGTAGGCCAAAAGATAAATTATTAGAAAAAATAGAAATATAGAACCATAATGATTTCAGATTACTTTGCCATGGTCTTTAGAATTACACTTAGCTTAGAGAACTCAACTGAATATAGTAGGTGATGTTCCACGGGTGTAATTTATAAACGAAAGATGAAAAATGTTAGTCATTATTAAGATCACACCTACGGGAAAATAGACTCTACATAAAAGATTATTGAATGAATGTACTTTTTTATGTTTTAAATGTAAAAGCAATGCTAATGATATATAGTGTAATTTTGTTAATGATCTGCCTGAGCCAATGCTTTACCTTAACCAGCCAAATATTGATCCCAATGAACATGAAGCAATAATGCCTAATAACATACATAAATTGGAATATAAGAGGCTAGGTTTAAGATAAAAGAAGAGTAATGGAAGTAGAGAACCCATTTAAGAGCCTTGACTTTACAGAGTAAGGATGAGTGGTGTGCATCAAAAATTTAATAGAATCAGATTATAAAGATGTGAGATCACATTAGATGATCCCTTGGGGACAGTTTTGATTCTGTAAGTACAGGAAAGCAAGCAACTGTCTACTGTAGTATATAAAATAATGTGTAACCAAATATGTCTTTTTTTCTCTAAGGAAAGTAATATTAAAAAAACCAAAAACTGGAAACATAAGGCTGCCTATGAGAATGGAATCAGCTAGAAAGCAAGGTGCTTGTGCATAACTTTGTAAATCAGACACTATTGTCAAATGTCTCTCTGTTCTGTGTGTGACAAAAAATAAATAAAGAATTAAGACCAGCAGTTAATCCACCAAGTTAAAATTCTGTGTAAGCTCAGATCGGACCGTGCTTTGTTTATTCACATTTTGCACATCACTCTACTGTTATTATCTGCCGTCTACGGTGGTGACATAAGGATATTCTTACCATCAGACCTTGTTACTCCCTAGCCCTGTAACCGCTGTTTCTATATTCCCTAGAATTCTCTTTATCTTGTCTCTGCCTTTCTATCTTATTAGGCTATCTTGTTGCTAGTTAACAGTAGTCCAATCCTTTTAATCATCAAATAATCTTTGTATTAATTGTTCCTTCTTCAAATTTCTGTGTGATTTCTGTTACTGACGGACTCTGATTGTTACAAAAGTGGACTCTCCTTATCCCGGTGAAATCAATACACAAGCCCTTTCTCAGAGTTTTAGCATGATGCATTTCAACTCACTGTAAGTTGCTGGACTGCTATTTCACAGAAGTTCTTTCAAATACTAGAACAGAATTAACTACAAAAATAGTTCTCTTTTTTGCATAGTACATTACAAACATTTTTCTAAATGAGGTTTACGTGGGAAGAACATATTTATTATGCAATTTTCATTGATAGGAATTTTATTCAGATATAAATTGAGTGTGGTGAACTGTGCACATTTAACATAAAAAACGTGATGAGTTTTTTAAATTATATACTGCTATAAAGTCATCACCGGACTCAAAATAGAAGACATGCCCATTTCCTCTGAAAGATCCCCTTTAAGATTCTTTATTAAAGTTCACTTTTCCCTTCGTCTCCAATCATAAGCAACCACTGATTGTTTTGTGGCCACCATAAATTAGATTTTATTTTCTAAAATTATATATATTAAATATATATAATTATAATGATAATAATTATATATAATTAATATATAATAAAATTATATATTATATACTGAAAGAAGTCACATATATGATTTCTTTCAGTCAGTGAAATGATTTTGACATTCATCCATGTTCTTGCTTGTTTCAGAGGTTTGTTACTTCTCATTGCTAAGTATTATTCTATTGGATGGAGATGCCATAGTTGGTTTATCCATCACATCAATCCATACACACAGGACCTTTTCAAACTGAACTGTTATGAATCAATCTTTTATGAAAATTCAGTTATAAGTCTTTGTTTAGACTTATCTTTTCATTTCCTTTGTATAAATAACTTGGGATAAAATTGTTGCATAATATGGTAGGTGTTTAACATTTTAAGAAACTGCCAAATCATTTCTTAAAATCATGTGTAATTTATATTCTCATTGACAATATATGAGTTCCCATTTCTCCACATCTGCATCAAATTTTCACTGCCAGTCCTAAAATTTTCACTAAAAGTAGATTTTAACAAAGACTTCATTAAATTTCTTAAGAACTTATAGGCATATGTAGAATAGATAAACAAGATTATACTGTATAGCACAGGGAAATATATACAAGATCTTGTGGTACTCACAGCAAAAAAAAAATGTGACGAATATATGTATGTTCATGTATAATTGAAAAATTGTGCTCTACACTGGAATTTGACACAACATTGTAAAATGACTATTACTCAATCAAAAATGTTTAAAAACATTTCTTAAAAACAAATGATGTCCAACATCATTACATGGGAAATGCAAATTGTAACTATATCAAGAAATTTCTACCAAATGTTCACCAATGAATTGATTTAGCATTTTTGTTGACCAAATAAATGGGTCTACTTTGGCTTCTATTTGGTTCTATCAGTCTATAGGTTTAGCCTTCTGACAATTCCACAGTCTTGATCAGAGTCACCAAACAATGACCCACAAGCAAATTGGGCCTGCTGCTATTTTTTATAAAGTTTTGTTAGAACACAGGAATCTGAATTGTTTGCATAATTATTTATTCAGCTTTCATGCTACAGTGGTAGAACTCTACCACTGTAAATGTGAAGACACCAAATGTGTGGCCTACAAATGCTAAGAAAAAGTATGTGAACACGGAGTCTCGATTACTTTAAATGTACATGTCGAAATTGGGTATTTTTTTTCCAAACTTATTCTTTCATTTAAATTTACTTTGTAAGTTTATGATTCCTTATCAGATTTGGACTTGATCTTTACATGTTTTTCAAAAGTGTGCTTTAATTTGCCATAGTTCCATGTATAAATATTTGTTTTACATACAAGTATTTGTCACATGTATATTTTTATATATATATAGTTTATATTTATATTCATCCAGACGTTTACCACTTATTATATTCATTACTCATTCTTAAAGATTAGAATTTTCCTCTGGAATAACTAATTAAATTATGTTTATTTAACATTTCTCTCTTTTAATGGGGATTTGATATCAACAGCTTCTCCTAGATTTTCTTTATTTAAATCTACTTCACCTTAGTTTTTTTTTTTAATTTTAGTCTTAAAAATGTTTTTCCAGTCTCTTTGTCCTGCATAGTTTCAGCACAGAAGTCAGAGGTCATTATAATAATTGTTCCCCTATATTTAATGTGTATTTTTCCAATGTATTTCAAGCATGTCTATTAATATTGGCTTTTCAAGCATTTCTATTAACTTTGAGGTACTTGGGGTGTGTGTGTGTGTGTTTTATTTATCCTGTTTTGATGAGCCTCTTGAATCTATAAATCTGTTTTTCTCTCATTTGGGGGATATTCAGCTATTATTTGTAGGAACATTTTATTTGTTCAATTTGCTCACCTTTCTTCTTTTGGCATTTCAATTACCTGTATGTAGAAAAATGAGTGAATAAAATGGGAAATTATATGCCACACATCTCAGGGGCTCTGACCATTTTCTTCATTAATTGTTTCTCTCTTCTTCAGATTGAATGATATTATTATTAATCTATCTTCCAACTTCCTAAACCTTTCCTCTGGCATCTCCTTTCTGCCATGAATCCCTGCCTCTCAATATTTCATTTCAGAGATTACATTTTTCCCATTCTAAATTTTCCATTTAAAAATATTTTCTATTTCTTTAGTGAAATTTTCTATATTTAAGTCATTTTCTTCAATTACAAATATTAAGAACTGCTTTGAAGCCTTTGTCTGATAAAACCCACCTCTGGGTCACTTGGTGTCTGTTGCTCTTCACATTCTTGACAGAATTATGCCATGTGTAGTAGGGAAGAACACATCTGACTCCATATTGACCTGTTCCTTTAGCTCTAACCCTGGGCTCTGTTTCCTGGGCTCAGTCATGCTGGTTCTGCACCTTTTGTAAAAGAATGTTGCCTGGAGCCTGAAACAGACAGGAGAGCCCATTCTCAAGGCTCTGACCTTTAAGGGTATAACAATTGCCCATTCATATAGAGATAAAAGGTTGCAAAATAGAAAATAACATTTGTCTTGTTGGAGGTTTACAGGGACACTGTGACCTGACCTGTCAGACAGCTGCAAGAATGCAGGAATCTGACCCTAAGAGTTTGCAACAACCAAACATACCCCCTCTCCTTTTTTAGTATAAAAGGGGCCGGAATTCTGACTTGGTGAGATGGTTCTCTAGGATATTAGTCCCCCATCTTTTTTGGTCTGCTGGCTTTCTGAATAAAGTTGTTATTCCTTGTCCCAGCACCTCACCTCCCGATTTACTAGTCTGTCCTGCGGCGAACAGAATGAGTTTGGACTCGGTAACACATTTACTTTAATTTTTATGTGCCATATAACTTGTGACTGTGTCCTAGACACTGAAAGCCATGTACCATGGACATTCTGAATTGTTTTACATTGTTTTGAATGGAGTTGATGTTTTTGTTTAGCAAAATCTAGGTTGGACCAAAAGTCTGCTGTACCTTTGGTAAGTGGGAGCTCAGATCTCCAATCGGTTGACTTTTGGCTTCTCCTGTGCATGCACACAATCTTAGCAAACTCACATGTAGAGTTTGGAGTTTCTTTCTCTGGTTCTTTCATTCCCAGGGTGTGCTGATTCCTGTCTGGTGACCCTGATTCTCCAGGCTCCTTTTCTTTGATTCTTTCTTCTAGAAATACAGCTGTACTTCCTTTTGGTCCATCAGCCACTCCTGCCCTAAAAGAGGAAATGCATTCATGGGTGCCACTTCCTTTCAGGCTGAACTCCTCCAAATTCTCCCTGCATGTATTCACTCATCAGAGCCCCCGTCAGATAGTTTTATTCCATATTCTGTCCAGAGCTTATAGCTGTCCTTTTGTTGTCTAAAATAATTATGAGGTTTTTAAATGTCAGAATAATTCGTGATCACTTTAGACAGCAATACAGTCAAAGTTTAAAATAAGTAACAAATGATCATTGATCTCTTAACAACTAATAAAGAACATTTACTTCAAAATTAGCATTCTTATTTTGTATTCATGACTTAAATGTTCACATGACAAAATATTAGATATAGAATGCTTATCTTGGCATATTTTCTTTTAAAATCATGTGAAAATTTAGCATAACTCTGACTCTTGTAGTTTTACTATTCATTCAGAATTTCTAGATTTGAGGTCTGAATTCTATTTTTCTTTTGATGACAACAGTTATTTGCTAATAGTCCTTATAGTTTAATATATAGTTCACATTAGTTTATGCAAATAAATTTTATTAAAAACAATTCAGTTATAAATTAAATGAGCATCTACCTTTCTTCTGAGAATACTAATTTACTGTTAAAATAATGCCTTAGTACAATATGTATTGAATGCTATAGAGTACATACATTTTCACTTCAAGATTTTATTTTCAAAGAACAGAAAAATATGAAACTGCCTCATTTACTGTATGTTACTTTTTTTTAAAGAAAGACCTGTAAGACTTGTTCTTGATACTGCTTCTGAATCGTACACTCATCTCCATAGCGTTTCATATTTTACTGTAGCTCTCAAATACATAACCTTTTCCAAATACCAAGCTTAGTTCAATCTCCCTCAGTGGTAATGCTAAACTTTCTTTCTAAAGCCTTAAAGTGTAACTTAATATCCCATTGTCTTGCTTCTCTGCGCCGATTGGCTGTTCCCAAACATTCAAATGTCAGGTGTTTGCATTTGGTAGCTGGGAGGGCATTTCTTTTTATTGTGGGTAGTGTGTTGCCCATTATTACCTGCACTTCTTTTTATGGGCAGGATAATGATATTCATGGGAAGCTGTCTGCTAGGGAACTAGGCGGAACATTGCAGCAAATCTGCATCACAATGCACTGCCCTCTTTTTACTACTGTGAGATAGGAGTAGAACGTGGAGGACATTTCCTACGACCTTCACTGTTAAGTTCATGTAGAAAATCGGTTTGGGATCTGATTATTTAGGAGGACATGGCACCAGAATATTAATCAAGTAAAGGCATGCACAATTTGGAACCTGCCTTTTTTTTTTATTCCTCCTCAACCCCTCAGCTTCTTTTTTCCTCTTCTTTTTAAATAAAATATTTCCATTTTGAAAATTAAATGGAAGAAACAGGTCAGATTGTAGAACAATAACTTTTACAGGGACATATGAGGATCCTGTACTGACATAAAGCAGTGGATAAAGCAGTGGTTTTAGGAAGAGGCAATGTGAAAGAAAAGAGAAAAAAAATGATTATATTCTGACCTGGTATAAACACAGGCAAGTAATCTTGTAATGATAATTCTCTAGGTTATTTGGGGGTCCACACAGCCAGTTTCAGAACCTCAGTCACTGATGTTGTAGACATCATGGTATACAAGTAGCTGTGAACAGGTACCAGACCAGTAAAAGCTCAAGATTATTTTTCAGGCAAAATATTTATCAACCCATATTTATTTGGAGATTTCCAAGCAATTTATTATGGCCAAAAATTCAGTGGTGGATGAAACCACTGAACCACGATAAAAAACTTGGAGTCATGTGTGGTAAACGGAAAGTAATTAAGTAATGCTAAATTGTAAATTGTGAACTATAATAAGTGCTATGAAAGAAAAGCATAGGGAGTTATGTGGCCATATAACCAAGGGATCTAATTTAGCCCTAGTCTTAATAAAGTCTCCTTTAAGGAAGTGAAATTGAGCAGTGAACTGAAGGTCAAGTAGAAACTAACCAAACAAAAAAAAAAAGAAAAAAAGGGCAAAAGTATCATCTCCGTACAGGACGGTTCAGTTTTACAAGAACCTGAAGTGTCCACTGGTCACAGCATTTTTGAGAAAACACTAAGAGGTTGTTGTAACTAAAGCCAAGAGAACACATGGAAAATAAACTCAAATGCACTGAGTAATACAGGATTTTGAAACGATGTTAAGGTTTGAC